TCTTCCTTTGAAGGGTCTCTTTATGCTCATCTGTTTAGTCGTTGATATATTTGGGTTTGCCGTGTTTGTTTCTGTTTAGGTTTGTTTGTGAATTTTTCACCCTTTTGTTCCAAGCATTTCGATAGGCTTATTAGGCCTGTCACAGTTTCAGAAGAGACCCTTTAGTGGTACATTCTAGGGTGACCGAAAGTTGCCTTTATGGCTACCGTAGTGGCCTCCCGGGCAAGCCTACACCATACTTTACCAGATCCCAGCAATCTCCATTATTTTCTTTAGAAGGTGGAAGAAGAATCGTTGTTCCTGAGCGAACCCAAAGTTTGGGTTGCATGGGATACATCATAGTAAACAGGGCAATAATTTACACTAATTTACAAGTCATTATACCGTTTTCACCCCCAAAAAACCCACAAAAGAACCCAGTGTACTGGAGTACAATTGGGTCATGGTCATGAAATAATGAAATTTCTTTCTGAAGCGAAGTGTAGAATAACAATAAAAGCAAGCTGTCTCCTCATTCAGATGAACAAAAACCTGTGTTGCCCCAATTGTTACATTTGCATAATTTTCGTATACCAGCTTAAAGATATAAAAGGGAGTTCCAACTCACTTTAGTTAACTCTCAGCACGTGGAGTGTCTTTCAACATGGATTTTCTCAGTTTTTCAGGGCTCTTGTTGTGTGTTGTGATCGGGACCTTATTTGTTCGTGATGCCAGGGCTGATGATGAGGTGAATATTAAGATACGATGAGATAAGATGATACTTTATTGTCCCGGAGGGAAATTTTTCTTGGCTGTACAGAATGTAAAGCTGACAAAAATGCACATATCGCATCTTTCAACCACATGCAGGAATTTATCACAGATCTTAATTCGGTGTGTCTTCTGCGTTCTGTTTTCAATTTTCTCGTTCAGTTGATATCTTTAACACTTCTTTTCTCTATTTCATTCTTCACTTACTTTCTTTTTCTACCATCACTTTCAAGACTATTTGGTCTAAAAATGCCTAAACTCACTAACCGAATGGGCAGTAGAGCCCTTGGGAAAAAGAGAAGGAAATACACTGGACGGAGGCTGTGTCGGTGAGCCTGTACGTTTTATGTCCTTTTCAAAATGCCAACCAATACTCCACAAAAACAGACAGGAATAGTTTTTGGAAAAAGAAAGTATTTGTTTCAAGTTGTAATACAATACCCCCTTTCACAGAAGCCATACATGTCTGTACAATAATACCCCAAGAAATAGAAAACGCAATAGTGCAAAGTAAAAACAATGTTTTTTTCCAGCTGACCCGCCCTTTTATCAGGGTGAAGGAAGCAAAACGTGAATCTGTCAGTGAAGGAATGCAGTTTTCAGTCCGGTATCACGTTGTCACTGGCGAGAAGTCGAAAGTTTCCTGGATTGACGAGAACAAGTCTTGGGTCACACTTAAAGGTAGGTTAGCAAACTAGAACTATACTATTATTTTTATAAATCGACACACACACCCAAGCGCACACACACACACACACACACACACACACACACACACAGACACACAGACACACACACACATACACACACACAAACACACACACACACGTACACATATTCTCATGAATAGAACTCAGCAAGGTAAACACTTAATAACGTCTCCTCCAAATTGTCGTTAGTTCAAGTACAGAAAATAGTTTGAGTACAGAGCGACGTTAAAAATAGTTGCTGTCATTGTTTTAATTTTCGATGACATTATCTTTTTGTATTACAAAACTACATGTAGGTGCATTGGAATTTCCGTTCCAACAACTTCATTTTTAGCATCACAGAAAGACATAATCACATCCTCCAAGTTTGTTAGGGTGTCCACTGAGTTTTGTTCTTTATTGGAATAAATCATAATGTTCTATCCTTTTTAAAAAAAATTGCCCAACGTTTTTAATTTTAGTCAGAGAAGTAACATAATATTTGTAAAGAAAACCAGGTAGGGCTGAAGATGCAAACCCCACCCCATAAGACACCAATGCTAATCATGGGATGATTATGACAGACAAGGTTGCAGCAGCAAGGCTTCTAAATGGTCTAAATAATGCCAACCGTGATGTGAACCTTTCACTTGTACAATTCCTAATTTTAAGTAACAATATCTGGTGTTCCCACAGGTACAACGGAGGAGGATGGGTCTTCTAACGTGGCAAGTGTTGTGGTACCGCCTCATGAGTCATCAGTTGTTATGTGTGAGATTCTCACAAGCAGACATAGGTAATATGTCACTCTCTGATGGGCATCTTAAGCTTGAATAGATATTAATTAACGCCCCCCACCCAGAAAAAAACAAAACAACAACAACAACAAAACAACAACAAAGAACAAAAAACAAAACAGCAACAACAACAAAAAACCCAAACAAATAAATTACAAAATTAAAAAACCCCCGACATCAACATAAAGCTACTAATGGGTCTTAGGTGGCCCCATGGTTAAGCTCTCGGACTCGTAACCATGGGGCCGTGTGTTTTAATCCCGTCATGGACACGATGTTATATGTTGGGAAAGACACGTTTTCTCACTTCACTCAGGGAGAAATAGGTGCCCGGCTATACACATACATAGATCTTGTCAGTTTGTTAGTGATTGGGCTCTTGCACTGTATGCTGTCCGGGAAGATGAGAATGGTTTTGAGTGTTATAGGGCCTGCTGTGGGTAATAATAATAATAATATAATGTAAAGCGCATTGATCTTGCTGTCGACCGGGGATATACGCTACACATATGCTATTATTATTATCATTATCATTATTATTATTATTATTATTATTATTATTATTATTATTATTATTATTATTATTATTATCATCATTATTATTATTATTATTATTGTTATTATTATTATTATTATTATTATTATTGTTGTTGTTGTCGTTGTTGTTGTTGTGGTGGTGGTGGTGATATTTTTATCTTTGCTGTTATCATTATGAACGTATTGATCTTCTAAAGCATGAAATACTATAGATAAACTATTAAGATTGTTAAGGGGTCCATTCATCAGAAAAATTCCTTACCGAGACTCCTCAACACAATAACACTAAAGCAAGAAATGACACAGCGACATGACGCATGTTTGTCGTTCCGATGCGCGAATTTTATGTATACGGGGGAAACATTTCTGTTGTTTTATACCGTTGTATCCTTCCTCTATATCATCAACTGTGGTGGTTTCATAAAGAAAATATAAAAATCCTTGGTAAAGGGGAGGGATTGAATCTCTCTTACTTTTCCGGAACAACTTTTTCCTTGCTAGATATGGTGCAAATGATTCCCAAAGGATATTAATAAAAAAACGAAAAACCAAACCCAAAACACACAAAACAAAACAAGCACGCTTTTCTTGTAGGTAAATGGTCCACAAAGCCTTGCTAGTTAACTTTCGAGCAAAATGTGTTCCATTATAGTGAAATCAAGTGCTTGTCAAAAATGAGAAATCACAGCCATGCTTTGGGCAAGTTTTAATAATAAGTTTTCTCTTTACACTCCATATCTTTTGTGTCTATTTGAGAATGCATTTCAGATAGAAACGTTGATCAATGGCATGCAAAATATACATGTGCATATTCCAAGAACACCCAAGCTTTGGATATCACCAAATTTTGGCGGCCATTTCTTACTATTTTTACCTCAGGACACCAGACGACCCCCACCACCCTCAATTAATAATTTTTTTACCTCTATATATAAGATACATTATGAGTACTTATGACCCTGCTGTTGAGCGGGGATATGCGCTATATAAATGCTATTTATTATTATTATTATTACTTGCACCAATACCAAGACAAATAAACAAGCCTTCAGATTATACAGATAACGGAACATGCCCAAAAATTGGTCAGCTTCTGATTCCACCGTGTCGTGACAAAATTATTTCATGAATTTAAACACTTTCATAGGTGATCTTTCAATAGAGCCTCATCTGAATTTTGAGTGCATTAAATTTGCTTCCAATGTGCTATGTTATGCTATCAAAAATGAAACACAAAGTGCACTTTCATTCTGAGAGTAAAGTTTAGTGTGTCTCACAATTTGGTATAGATCTAAAGAACAAGAAAACAGACAGACAGAGGAACTTTTGCGTTGGAATACATGTCTTTTGTAGTTTGTATTTTCTTATATCTCCCTTTCATGGGAAGATCACTCACTTTTTCTTACATTGAAGCATGAATGATACACAAAGACTCCTATGTCAGTAATCACCACTGTTTCTTTGTTTTTAATCTTTAAGATATGTTTTGTATTTGGAGAACGCCGAAGATGGAGACGTAAAGGTGACACCTGATCTAAGGCCCAATTTCTCCGTGACTCCAGATGGAGACTTTGTGTACCAGGCAGGAACTGATGTTACCGCCGAGGTAAATTTGTTATTTTGTTTTTACGTCAATCGTTAATGTGTTTTATAGATAGATAGATAGACAGATAGATAGATAGATAGATAGATAGATAGATAGATAGATAGATAGATAGATAGATAGATAGATAGATAGATAGATAGATAGATAGATAGATAGATAGATAGATAGATAGACAGAGAGACAGAAAGAGATAGAGACAGAGAGGGACAGCGACAAACAGAGAGAGACAGACGGATAGAATATGGGAAAAGAGAGATAAAGAGAGAGAGAGAGAGAGAGAGAGAGAGAGAGAGAGAGAGAGAGAGAGAGAGAGAGAGAGAGAGAGAGAGAGAGAGAGAGAGAGAGAGATTATAGCAAAAGCTACGGAAAGGGAGTTATGTTATATTATTAAATTGTGTTCACATCCTCACGCTGATTTTCTCGTCTTGTCCAAAGGTGGAGCACTGGTTGCTGAATGAAGGCAGTCCGACCTACGACATGTTCGAACTCAGATTTTACCTTCAACATTCATTACTGAAACTTGTTCTCAATAGACCACCTTACAACTTTTTGCAGGAGCATGGACAGTAAGTACCGGGATCATTTGTTAAAATGTCTGCTTCTCTTTCTTAATCTGGAAACATAGTTGCAGTCAAAGACACCTGTAGGTGAGTGCCTTGTAAATCTAAATAGACTTTCGTGAAATCATGAGTCAGTTAAGCACAATACCAAAACTTTTTATTGCAATATAGATGTTCTGTTCACCCTATTCGAGCACTCTCAAGCACTAATTATGTAAGCTAACAATTGCACTGATTGAGTTTACTCCAAAGAGGAGAGGGGAACCAACTCTTGATAATCTGATAGATGCTGTAAATGCTGGATTTTTTTTCTCGACGTTTTACCGCTCTATAATGAGGTCATCCACGAAATGTTAGGGGAAGACATCTGAATTTGAAACCAAACTGATGTTGCATTTATTGCAGTATTGTCACCTCTGCTTCTTTGCCTTATGTTTGAGTATTCACATTTTTAATTAAATTTACTGTTAAGAAATATAGAGACCATTCATATTGTTCCCACTAGTTGTAAATATGTTTTGCTCAAAGTGGGAATAATGTTTAATGGGATATTTTCTCGATTATTTTGGCCGGTGCATATGCATTATGAATTGAGGATTTATTTTTATTCACAACTCAGTGATTTCGTTTTGTATGTTGTTATGTTCCTATTGTGGAAAGGCGTTCTGTGTATAACCCCGTCTTTATCTGGTCCTTTGTCTCAATTTGATTACCCTGTCAAGCAAGCAGAGCCCCTCGCCCCTGGTTAAAAGATAGAAAAAGGAAGAAGAAAAGCTTAGTTGTTGGGGTTTTATGTTGTTGAATCCTAAACATTTGGCACCATTGAATTTTGCCCTCTAAATGGCAAGGGCTTTGCATATTTCAATACAAGTTAAATTAAAAAAACAGGCTGCTTCAAACTCGACTGTCAGGGTTAATTTGTGGTGAATGAGATACAATATGTCAACAGACAGTAGGAAGTACATGATATTTTAGAAAAGGACTTTTTAAAATGAATTATCAAAATTTAAATCATGTTTTAAAAACCCAAACTTTTCAACACTAGGAACCTGAACTCGTGTCTTCTGCCTACAACAGGGAGGAGTGAAACTACAACACCACAGTTATGCTTAGAATACTGACAGATTCTCTCCTTTTTTCCAGATTCTTTAAGCTTCGTTTTCTTTCTTTCTTTGTTTTAGAGTGGACGTGGGCAATTTTACCCAATACAATTTTAGTTTATTGACAAGTATGTACCAAACCAACGGTCTGGTGGAGATATCAGTCAGTGTAGGACAGACCCAAGAACTGGTGAAGCGTGCTACGGTGAGTAGAAACATTTTGGTGTCCATTATTACCTATTTTGTCTTTGTTTTATACTATACTTTGATCATAAATAAAGGATACCAGACCAATATGAAGGAAACATTAAACACTCGAAGGCAAGATGTGGGGCAAAAAGGCTAAAGGTGGAAAAAGAGCAACGTGTGTGGGCCGATAACACGAAGGCATGGACTGGACTATGTATAACAAGGTGCATAACGGCAGTTTGCGACCGTAAGCATTGGGGGGTCATTGCAACTCAACTTCTGAGCCAGAGATGGCACCTTCAGGTGTCTAAGTATTCCTAGTGATACAATACTTAGATCAGTGAATTGAAGGGTTGCCTCGACTCTACCTGACAGGGCCAACACGGTATGAGTGTTTTAGAAGACCCTAGCAGGCAGACGTAGATACTCGATTTAAAACTTCCATCCTCATTAATCAAGTTCATGTGATCCGCGCAGTGCGACAAAAAATCATGATCTATTTCAAAGTATAATGCATCAGCTTTACTGTAGACGGCCTGTCTTTATGTCTGAAACCGATTGGCATATTATTTTTTAATTATAAATTGATGTTTTCACGTGTGTCTTTTTTGCAGCAGTTACAATTAAAGACCAATGTCCTTTTGACATATCAGGTAGTATAGGTTTGGAAGGGAGAAATAGAATCATTTATACAGAAACCCAATATTATTCAAAATGGATGGAAAGATATATTTGGTTTCTAGAGACATTGTGAAGTAATTCCATAATTGACTGTAACTACTATCAGTAGCATGAGTATGTATGCCACCTAAAGAAGTATTTGAATAGCAAACAAAAAATAGTAAAGCACTATGATAATAACTGGTACATGTTTGAAATCTGGAAATGATTGTTGGAAGTGTCTACCTACTGCGTCAAGTAAAGATGACCTCAGCAGTTTTCGTTAAAATTGCGCTATAAATGTAGCCTGTTATTTTCCAATTTCAAATGCCAGATCTGAATGTAACAAACATTGGATTTCAAGTTTACACCATTGTATTTCTGTTCAGGTGCTTTCAAAAGAAAACCTACAACATCAATGCAATCTTTTCCCCGTCATCTGTCTGTTCAAGTCTCATGCTATGGTTGCGTCGTTGTCCCAGTGGTTAGGCTATTGTACTCGTAATCGTAATAGGGGGTGCCCACATACGCAGTCGGGTCGGGTCGGGTCGGGCCCATCAGGCAGTCAGAGCTAGCCAAATTGAAGGTTCAAAGCGGCCTTCGTGGCACAAACCGATCGACACGATCGTTGACCTACAAAAACAGATGCGTTTGTTTTCTGGCCTGCGAATCTGGCGATCGGGTGGTTTGCAGCCAATCACAACAAGGCTGAGTCACGTGTCCATTTTGACCCATGGATACATTAAGTAGGTACTCTGGTAATTCCTGGTTTCGGTCTTACGCCTTTGACCGTCTTCTCACTTCGCACTGCGGGTTTGGAGTGCTCATAGGCCTAGAGGAAGAAGGAGTCGAATAAGAAGAAGGAGGAGGAGCACTACAAAGGGAGGGTGGTGAGAGTGACAGGGAGGGAGAGAGATAATTTGAGAGATATATGCAGAGACCTAGATTGTTTACATTGCTAGATCTAGATCTAGGTATCTGATATGGGAAGTGAGAAATAGACAAGAACGGAGAGAGACACTAAAGCAAGTTAGCAAGCAAGCACTCTCTCTCTCTCTCTCTCTCTCTCTCTCTCTCTCTCTCACACACACACACACACACACACACACACAGAGGGATTACGGGAAGTCCAAGAGTACGGTAGGCATATTTTATGTATTCATGGGTCAAAGGTCCAGCAAATCGTAGCCCAGTTTACGCCCTCTGTGTAGTCGCATGTAGGTTAAAGGTTTCTCTACTTTAACTTCCAGGTCGTCGGGTACAATCTTGGCGGGGCTGTAGTGGGCACTGAAACCCCGGCCAGATCGGCCCGACCGGACCCGACCCGACGCGATCGCGTATTTGGGCACCCCCTATAAGATTGTGCGTTCGTGTGCTCGAGCGTTAGCTCTGTCCGATGTTGGTGTCCTGGGGAAAGTCATTATACATTTGGCTCGGTCCTTTCGGAGTTGGGCGTTTAACTCGGAAGTCCTGCCTCCTAAATAACCTAATAGTTTTCATAGGTAAGTTAATATACCTATACCATTTCACAATTTTAAATTTGCTTTTCCTGTTCTATCAGTTCTGCTCCAATCGTTTATTTATCCCGCTAGAGCAAAATGTTCAACGTATTTAGTGTTACTTTAAAACTTTCCATCATGCAGGTGACCAAAACAGTTGTTCTCAGGCCCAGTACTCAGGCAGGAGCTTTTCCTCCAGGATTTCTGCAGATTGTTGGAGGCGTCTATAAGCAAATTGATTATGACGGAAAAGTTGTATACTGCAGGTAAATATAAAAAGACAGCCCTCTTCCAGTCCTTACTGAAAAATAAAAAAGTACCGCTTGTTGATTTTGTGTAAACAATCTAGTCTTTTGTGTTTTTTTTCCTTTTTCCTATTCACGCGAGTAATACTAAATACTCTAAAAAGTAGGCCATGTTATATAAAACCATATTTTAATGTTTAAATTAAATGTTCACAACACCAACGTTAAGAAATAGAAAAATACTGTCAACAGAAAAAAACAACAAACTAAAAAACGCTGAATGTCACGGCAAAAGCAGACACGCGCCGAGCATGCAGATGGCTCGATTTTTCTGATGTTGTGTTACACACCCACTATCTTCCAAGGACATACATGATCAAATTAATGCTATTGCAGCTTCTGGGAAAGACAGGCTTAAACGTTACACACATACACACACACACACACATACACACACACACACACATGCACGCGCGCGCACGCACACATAAACACCCCCCACACACACATAAACACACACACATACACACAAACACAAAGCTACAGACTAATAATAATAATAATGACACTTTAAAAAAACATTCGCCCCGTGGTTGGAAATAAATGTTAATATTGTTCTTTTCTATCTGATGTTGGTGCTCTAATTTAAACACCAAAAATGTTTCTATAACTTGGCTTTTATTTAGAGTAACCTACTTAGTTTCACTAAAGTGAAAGGAAAATGGTAAAACTCAAAAGACTTAATTTTATACGCAATCAAGAAGTAGTACCTTTTTTATCGTCAGTATATCAAATTACTGGATTGATTGAGTATCTCGAGATCAACAAGATATCATTAAACCACTCTAAAACAACAACATCATCAACAACAACAACAACAAGAACAACAACAACAACAACAACTACTACTACTACTACTACTACTACTACTACTACTACTACTACTACTACTACTTTTAGTAGTGTTTTTTACGATAATTAACATCACTGTTGCAGCTGCTATTCTTGCTGTTGTTGTTTTTCTATTATTATTATCATCATTACCATTATTATCATTATTATAATTATTACTATTATTATTAGTATCATTGTTATTATTATTATTATTATTATTATTATTATTATTATTATTATTATTATTATTATTTTCATTATTATTATTATTATATCTATATTTTAATCAGTAGCACTAGTAACCGTAGCAACAGCAGCAGCAGCAACAGCAGCAAAACAGCAACAACCTTAACAGGGGTAAAAGTAGCTGCAGTAGCAACAACAGCAGTACTAGAATGTGCCCAGTAATTCACCCCATTTTCCTCAGCCTCGGCAGTAGATGGCCATGCTATCTGGGATGCAACGGAGTCGGAAATGACGTCACTGCAGTGACCATCAGCAGGATCAACGATGACGGTAGTGCGAAACAGCTGGCTGTAGAGTAAGTTGACTGAATTATTATTGTCATGGTTCTTTTTTTTTTTTGTTACTGGTAAGTGTATTACAGCGCTCGCGGAGGCTCTCGTGGCCAAGAGGTTAAGGTGTTGGCCTCTCATTCAAAGGTCCCGGGTTCGAATCCGGGTAGTGACCGAAAAATTTTCTTCTCTAAATTTGTCTCCTTTCACCTCCTTTCCTGCTCTCTAGCAATGTTCTGTCGTCTGCTTTAGTCTCCTCTTTCTGCCCCCACTCCCTCATCTCCTTTGCCCCCCCCCCTCCTCTGGGCTCCTGATTCTTTCTACAGACTTTCTACTGCTATTCCTTGGCTTCTTCTTACTGTGTCTTTCAGCCACACCCCTGATCTTCTGGTACGAACGATCTACACCTAGCCTTCTCTGACAAGGGCGAAAAATCTCGGAGGGCCCATTTTCAAGTTGCGCACGTTAAAGATCCCTTGGTGGTCTAAAATCGATTACAGTAGGCTTCGGCCGCCACCCGGGCAAAATTCAAAATTTCCTACTAACTGAAAACGTTTAATGTGTCCCACGCGCTCATATGACCTTATGCAGTTGCGAGCGTCGTAAAACACTTACAAAAAAAAAAAAGGCGCTCGCAACCACATAATAAGGTCATATGAGCGCCCAGGACGCTTTAAATATATTTAGTTTGGAATGAATTTTGAATTTTTCCCCTGTTGGCGACCGAAGCCTACTCTTATCGATTTGAGGACCACCTAGAGATCATTAAAGAGCGTAACTTGCACCAGGGACCACCTTCGAGATTTTTCGCACTTATCCGAGAAGGCTATGTTTAAAAATTAAAACAGCAGAATGAAGTGTAGGAAAATGGTGGCCTTAAAAAACACTAGAAATGACCCGTTGCATTTTAGTTTTAATAAGAATGTTCCTGCACTTGAGATACAAATAACTCGTGTGATTCCGAAAATAGGGGATGTTAATAGAAAATGACATGCAACGAAAAATAAATAATAACGAATAAGTAAATTACACTTTTATTTGTCCCAGAAGGGCACTTCGTTTTACAATGGCAAACATACATACATAAATACGTCATGAATAAATGCATACATAAATACACAATATTACACACGTACAGAACAGTTTACAGCAATGCCACAGTCGGTCGCCACTGTGCAGCGCCTTGTATTTTGAGCTGGGGTTTGTCGTGTCTTGCTCAATGGCACACTCCAATGACCACCCATCTGATCCCCGTGTCACCGACACTTGCTTGACATTACTTAGAGTCTAAACTCACTACTCACTTAGCGAGTGGAAAAGAGGGCAGAGCGATACATGTTTGATAGAAAAATGTTGCAAACCAGATCGGAGCACTCGCTAACAACTCTCCTTTTTCTGTACCTAAAACTGCCCTCCTTCCCCCCTCCCTCACAACACAAGGTATGTGGGTCAAATTTCTTTGCTTTCCCTCTTTTGTTTCTGCCTGTCTCTATTACTGTTTTTCCCAGCACTGAATGGTCATCCTTGTGAGGATATACTTCTACTCCTTACTCAAACAAACAAACAATTAAAACAAACAATTCCTCATCCCCAGAACCCCTCTCCCTGGACAACTGATGACCTACGTCGGCGCTGTCCTTGATGAGAGCGAACTGAAAACCGTCCCTGTCCGCTGTGAAGTGACCAACGCAGCCGGTGATACGAGTGCCATAACCTACCAAGTCACATTCGTAGCCCCAGCTCCCTGGGAATAGTTCAAACAATAGACAACTGACCTTAACCCTTTCACTGTCGGGTCAGCTTCACAGTCCTAGAAAAGAGCCAAAGGCAGTCTCGGGCCAGGCAGTGGAGGAAGAGGCTTTTTAAATGTTTAAACAGTAGAGATATGATTTTTATTTAAAGTCATATTTTTTCCTTTATTAAAAAATAATACGCGCACAAGTCGTTATTGTCTAGCTTCCCGAGAAAAGGCCAAACAACTGGAAGCTTAATTTCTTCTCTCCGGAGAGTTTTTCTGCAACATTTCAAGAGTCGATATATAATTTTATAATCTTAATTCGAGAGAGATTTATAGAAACCACATTATATTATTTTTCTATATTTTAGAGTATACGAGAAAAGATAATATTTATTGTTATTGCATCTCTTAAAACGTCCCACATAAATCAGTAGAAAAAGACTTGCAGAGTAGCAGTTTTAGAGACCACAAGCGAGGACATACCTCTAAACAACAGTGAGGTAATTAACTTCAAAAGCTTGTTGGCATTTTGGAAAGAAATATTTCTAATAATTTGTATTTCAGTATACCCTTTTCTCATGAAACGACAGTGCTTTTAAGTATATTTTGTTTTCATAGAATAAACAGAAATGAATTGCATTTTTATCATCTTCGTCAGGAGTTATTACTTTTTTAATCAATTTATATTTTACGCTGATATAACTTTATACTCGTCGTATGGACATTCGTAAATAGGTAAACGTATTCAACTTATGGAATAAATATATAAAACAAACCGCATTAGACATTGGTGTTAAATGCCATTTAAGATAACAACTCATCATCAACATGATCACTATCTTCCTTTTAAAATATCTTTAATAAACGAACGAACAACCCCCCCTCCCACGGAAATTTAATATTTTTGCAAATTAAAACACAAACATACAAACGCAGACACGCACACACACACACACACACACACACACACACACACACATAAACACATACATACACACACACACACACACATAAACACACACACACACACACACACACACACAAACACACACATACACGCGCATACACAAACACAAACACACACACACACACACACACAGTTTTTGAGTCTTGACCGTTGGATAGTTTTTTCACTGTTTTCAAAATAAAAAGCCATATAAAATCAGAAATAAAGGGGGCTGTGTGTATGATAAAAATCATTTTTTTTATTGCGCTTTCTCCTGATGCAATACATGTAGATCTAAGTTTGTGCAGAAAAAACGATCTGACGCTTGAGCAAACGTTTTAACGCCACGAGAACTGTCGGAGACGAGCTTAGATGTGGCCAACCAAGGGCAACAACTTGACATCAGGATCAGAATTCTATTGTCAACAGCCATGTTCGAAACCATTCCAACTAAGTGCAGAGACTGCCAGGTACTTCAGACTGTCTTTAAACACCATTGTTAGACATTCTTAAGATCGTGGATTTAGCGACTATCGCCCTTTGTGTGGAGCCATTCTTACAGTGCTTCATCGAAGAAATCAACAAATTTTGGCTCTACAACATTTGCGATGAAACTAAAGACGTTGGTAAAGTGTTCTTTTAAGCAATTGAAGGAAGAGAAAAAGTGTTTAAATGAAGAGAATAGAGATTTCACAAATCCAAAGTCCCCCAGAGAGGCCCGAATCGGTGACTGAAAAGTGATGGTATGGGGTGGAATCTCAATCTTTATATTACACATTTGGTTACTTTTCAAAACAACCTCAAAGGACGACAGTATTGTGACGAAATTCTTCGTCACAGGGACTACCCTACATGGCACCGATGATGGAATGTGCTAAAAAGACCACGCCCGACCACAATATTTTTATGCTACAATCAGTGAATACTCCTTCCGAACTCATCAAATAGTTGATCTGGACTGGCCTGCAAGATACCACACGCCTAAAGGGGGGGGGGGGGGTGACACCTGAAGGCTATCTCACTTATTACTGCATCGAATTTTACCACATTTCACACATATAACAAGCATAGTAAGGAGTCTTTAAATCCGCAATCAAATTTGAGAAAAAGTTGCGTTTCCATGGATACGGCGACCATATTGTATTTTGTTGACATGTCTTACGTAATGAATACTGCACTTCGCTCATGGAAATTGAATGTTCTTTTGCACGCGTGTTCACAAACATTAAATCTAAAAATTTGTTTGTTGTTTTTTTCCTAAACGAATTAGAAACATTTTAATGAATTTTTTCCTGAGGTAGCATTCAAGTTTTCAAAAAATCCGTAAAAATCCACACTCCAGACACCACCAACAAAAATCTATTCCATATATAAAAAAATTCAACTAAAATATGTTTAGTATTATATCTTCTCTTCATTCTGTGACAATTTCATGAAGATTGAACAAAAAATGGTGGAGTTTTTAAAAAAAGTATAGAGACAGGTTGCGTTTTGAGAAAACGGCCGATAAAGAAAAATAAAATACTGATTGTATGAGGAAATTGCGGTGACAAACATGCCTGGTATGGGAACAAAATACTGGTTTTTTGGGTTCTTCTGCCATGAAATATTTGTAGGAGAAGCTGAGGAAGCTAAAAATGGCTACAACTCAAATTCCATAATTTTGAGCCGAATTTTGACTTTGGGTGTGTAGTCCCCCCCCCCCCCCCCCCTCCTTAATCCAACAGAACATCTGTAAGATTACCTTGACTGGAGGATTAGAAACAGGCCGCACTCCCTATAAACTCGCCAGGAACTGAAGGTACACTTTACAAGGAATGGTAGGGGATTCATCAGACAACCATAATAAGGACATCAATTAGGTCAATAAACAGATGGGTTTTTTAAATCAGTAATTCAAGCTGGAAGAGACCACATGCCAATGCAAGGGTCAGTGTGAATTAAATGATCTCCCTTGATTAGGGAAAAACATGTGTCAGTTCTTTAAATGCCGTGTTTTCTATGTTGAGTGGTAAATGAGTTATTGTACTTTTAAGGTGGGTGTGACAGAACTTTTGCAACATGGTATATTATTATAACAACAACACTCAGGAAAAGCCGAGAAAGAACCTTAAAGCCGTCAACACTCGCCTGTGAGTGTTGGATTCATCGCACGGTGCAAGGGTCACAACCAATATACTATTCACGAGAAATCTGAACAGAAATAGTTATCGTCCTCTTCCACTTTCCACGTTCCACCTTTGTTGAGTCGAAGACCAAAATAAAAGAGGCTGCTGCACCGTTACGAACTATGAGAGCCAACACATGATAATTTGTCCACAAAAATATATTAAATAGAAATGGACAGGAGGGAAAGCACACCATTTTTTTTTCGTAAGTGTTTTACGACGCTATCAACAGCATAAAGGTCATATGAGCACACAGGACACACCAAACATTTTCAGTTGGTAGGAAATTTTAAATTTTGCCCAGGTTGCGGTCGAAGCCTGCTCTTATCGATTTTGGACCTCCGAGGGATTTTTGACGAGCGCAACTTGCTCACGAGACCTCCGAGATTTTTCGCCCTTGTCCGAGAAGGCTAGATGTAGATATTTTTCTACTAGAAGATCAGGAGAGTGGCTGAAAGATGGTAGTAAGAAGGACCAAAGGAGAAGTAGTAGAAAGGCTGCAGAAAGAATCAGGAGCCCAGAGGATGGGGCAAAGGAGGTGATGGGGTGGGGGCAGAAAATGGAGACTAAAGCAGACGTCAGAACATTGCTAGAGAGTAGAAAAGGAGGTGAAAGGAGACAATTTTAGAGAAGAAAATGTTTCCGTCTCTACCCGGATTCTAACCCGGGACCTTTGAATGAGAGGCGAACAGGAGAGCCCCCATATAAATATTTGATATTTGTAACAATTATGATAATGATAAAATAGTAGTAGTAATAATTTTAAAAATATTGATAATGGCAATAATAATAATAATCAATAATAATTAATAATAATAATAATAATAATAATAATAATAATAATAATAATAATAATAATAATAATAATAATAATAATAATAACAATCTATTCTATAACACATGCTGCTGCTGCTACTACTACTACTACTACTACTACTACTACTACTACTACTACTACTACTACTACTACTACTACTACTACTACTACTACCACTACTGCTGCTGCTGCTGCTGCTGCTACTCCTACTACTACTACTACTACTACTACTACTACTGCTACTACTACTACTACTACTACTACTACTACTACTACTACTACTACTACTACTACTACTACTACTACTACTACTACTACTACTACTACTACTACTTACCACTACTAAGGCTAAAACTAAAAATAACTGACACTACAGGCAGGAAGAAAAGAACTTATTTTAATGTTTTTGGTCACAATGAAATCGAAAGTGAGATTAACGCTATAGGGATAAATATTGGTTGACGTGACAACGACAGCGACGGCAGAAATAACAACCAGTATCACAAAAATGAAAACGCCAGTAACAACACCAGATACAGCAGAGACACCCCCCGCACCTAAAACTGTTCTAGAATACATTATAACATCACTTCCAACAGAGACAAAGATGCACAAACCACAGAAATGCAAAAAAACCCAAAACAACAGTGACTACAAACAGAGTAAAAAACAACAAAAATATTCAGCAACAACAGCTACAACTTTAATTGGAATACAATTTAACTCAAAGCTATACGAGAATTATTTAATTTCATTGTTCATTGCCCTGGATACATTTAAGAAAGTCTTCGTGATCGAAGAAAAACATGATTGTTCTTCCTTGATCCCAGAGCTCAACGCACGTTATAAGCTATCTTATCTAATTGGCTAGTTTGTTGTACAGACGAGATAATGATCGTAGAAAAAGCCCGAGAACTCCACTTGTCGTCGTGACATCAACCAAATTATGTGGTTCATTGAAGTGGAAGGGAGAATGTGAAGACTATCCAGTCAAAACGATTTTTCCGTGACACTGACAATGCGACCAATAAATAATTGTAACAGAGAAAAGACAAAAATGTCTGAAAACCCCCACAAAAATTGTCGTTTCAGTAGTAGTTGGCCTACATCTCAAAAGCTGGGAGTCGATAATGTGTTTCTCTTGGCCATGTGATGTAAACCTTAGCCCATGAACAGGATCAAATTATGTCTTCTCTTTCACACTTAATTTCCTATCCAAGTTCATGTCCAGCCCATAATCAAAAACTCAATCTTTTGTATCTTGTTTCATTCCTCCTCATTAGGAGAACAAAGCAACCACACGCCTACATTTCACTCTAAACTCCCCACAATCGATACACAATTCTCCATGTCGCCGCTGTGAGCACCACTAGTTAGCTGATGTCTTCCAACTTTCTCATGTCGTCAGAATGATACGCTCAAACAAAGAGCGCGTCTTTCTTCTGACGTCAGGCACAGGGATAAAAGATATTATATGAGTTCAGGCTGGCAGCTCGATTAAGCTATCTATTTATATATCGAAAAACCAGCATTTCTTTCTTTTTCCATTGATTTTCGCTCAGCTATTTTCTTGGTGTGAAACGCATTTCAGAATACCACAATAAGCCGCTTTTACGTTAATTACCCCCCCCCCCCCCCACAGTAACAACACCACCACCACCAACAAAAACAACAACAACAACAACAACAACAACAACAACAACAATGACGACTGAAACAAAAATTTTCCTCGCGCTGCCTTTTACGTATTATTTCACCTGGTTGTTTGGTGCGTGTTACTTAGTTTAATTTTATATAGTGGATCTTACATCTTCTTATATCTACAGGATCAGAAATTTAACTAAATTTAATGTTTAATATACCTGAGTCTACTTTGCTACTTATACTCTTGCTAGTCAAACTTACATCTTCAACAAATCAGAGAAAATGAGTAATCATAATATTTGAGGCAGCGTGGTGGAATCAGGCTCTCGTCAAATTAATCAGAGAAGAAACTAGTATTTTTCCGCAGGTTTGTGGATTTTTATCAATTTTTTTTGTTGGCTCAGCACCTTTCATGCCCATTAAAGAACTTATTTTTGTGTGGATTTTTCTTTAAAACGTTGATTAAAGGCACAAAAAAGTACATTTTCATTAACCATGGACTCTTAAGCTAAGGAAATAACTAATCTTTGGCGGCCATTTTGTCACTAATTTTACCCCTGAAAACAGGTGACCCCCACCTCCTTCATTCGCAAGTATCTCGCCTTGTATTCAAGATAAATGAACATTTTTTCATCCAAATAAAGACAAGTGAACACGCTTCAAGATGATACCAATAACTCTACTGCTCAAAAATTGACGACAGCCTGATTCCACCACGCTGCCTCAATTATACTTTTAAAGTAAAAGAAAACAAAAAAAGTGAAAGAAACACACACACACACACTCACACACACCCACCCACACACACAGAGAGAGAGAGAGAGAGAGAGAGAGAGAGAGAGAGAGAGAGAGAGAGAGAGAGAGAGAGAGAAAGAGAGAGAGAGCGAGAGAGCGGGGAAGTAATTATTAAACTAAATTTGGTTCACTAGGAGCAGTTGATTGCTGATTAGCTACCCAATCTGCATTTCGGACATACATGGGTAATTTAGCAAGTAATGCATTTTGTTTCAGAGGCTTTAAAGCTGAATTATCTATTGGTAGTAACATCGTGCGGCTTCTGTTATTCTGTACGGGCTGTTAACTATCTTGAAACCGACATTTGCGATTGAAAGGAAAGAACGAAGTGCTTCCTAAGCAGTTTTTCGACGAAACTAAAAAAAAACCCAAAAAACAAAACAAAACCCAGCTGTCACAAGCTAATAATGATATCAGTGTAGTTACAGTAAAGTAAGCGTTATTGTTTCATAGGCAATGCCCCAAAAACAAAACGCCCCCTCCCCACACCCCTCCGGAACCCCCCCCCCCCACCCCCCTCCTTTCCCCCCGCCAGTTTTTCTTTGTGCGTTTCGTTGCCAGTGGCGATAAGTTGACCTGGCGTTTGGCTGCTTTCATTCACAGTTTTTGCTAGTGCTTTTATTCCTATTGCAATCTTTGCAGCTTTTGTTTACTTTGTTTACATATTCCTGGAGGGTTTTCTCCTTGTCTTTAAGTGTACTCTGAACCTCCAAAAAAGGCTCGTTAATTGTGAACTCCTCTTTTCTAGTTTCTGTTGTTATTTTGTCCATAAATGCATTGTCTTCTCTTGATCTTACCTGGTACCATTATGTTTTTCCTGTGGTCTTGGTCTTTTTTATCGAAGGGTTTTTCTTGGTTAGCAAAGCAGCGTTTAGTTCTTGATCATAAACTAATCATTATTTCTCTGATTTGTTTATATGCAAATATCGTGCATAATATTGTTATTGTTACTATTATTATTTTTAATACTTTTATTTCTTGAAGGCCTTGACCAACTGAATATGTTCTTTGTGCCCTCATGGTGGTATCGTCAAAACTCGTTTTGTGTAACTTGATTGTTACCCGAATTTTCATTTTATTCCACTAAGTGTTTTTTTTTGGATGGACACCTTCAAAACAAATCCTTACTATTTTTCTTCTGCCTGTAAAGCTTGACAACTCCCATTCTTCTATGAACCAGTGTCCATGTCTAAAAATATACCATAAAGTCTATGACAAACCCGTACCCTCCCAAAACAAAACAAAACAAAACAAAAACAAAACAAAAATAACGACAACAACAAAAAACTACAACAACAAAGGAGTGGAAACGAGCTTGTGGAAGTATTGTTACATATTAACATTATTCTTTGAGCAATTCATTTTAATGTAAACGAGTACCATGAATGACAAAATAAACAATGGCCTGGCCTGGATTTAGCAGAATGTGCATCGGCAGCTCGTGACCGTGACGGACGGAGGATCATTACATGTCAACCTCTGAGTCAGAGATGACACCTCCGGTTCAGTTCAAAAGGTTGGGATAAATGGCAGCACTTGCAGGACACTTGAGTAAAGAAGTTTAATAATAATTCTGTGAATACTGATCAGTCCTAATAGCAATTAGGCGCCTGAGTCTCTATCTAACATGGTACATATCCGACAGACACATTTCTGAAAGGGTGTGACCTCAGTAAAATGTAGCTCTACTTACTTTTTATTCAGTGAAGTTCCCATTAGTTTTTCTATTTCTTTTGATGATAATCATGTTTTAAGGCACATGGACACGCGCACATACATACACAACACAGACACACTGAGACACACACACACACACACACACACACACACACACACACACACACACACACA